ATTAGAATAAATATTAGAGAAAGTATGAGTTTACCCACTTAGATAATATATATGAAGGAATTGTGCTAAAAACACAACCCTTGGAGTCCTGCAGCATTTTGGCCACAGAGTTTTGGTTATTACCATCCTCACCAAGTCCACATTATGGTATTTGTAGAAGATGAACAGCTTTAACTGCCTCCTGGAAAAGAATGTCTGTTATAAAAAATTGAAGTATTTGTACCAAAATCAGAGGCCTTAAACCTAGACCTGTCAAATCTCAGTTAAATGTTCTCCTTACTACCTCTTCACAAGTCTCACTCAGACCTGAAGTTCTCTTTCGGTCCTCAGAAATTTTCATGTCAGTATTTGCCAAGAAAATTTAACTTACCTAGAAAGTTGATTCTGATAACTGACATTATCCCTTTCCTCTTTTTTTTTTTTTTGCAATTTTTGTGTCACCGAAATTTTGTGTCTTCATTGCCATCCACCTTTTTTGTTGATTTCCCTGCAAAAGCTATTGGCAGTTTATTATTTTTTATTCTGACTTGCATCATCAGTACCATTCCATGTACTGGCCCCAGGTTCCTATCTGGATGTCAGTAAATTTGTCCAGATGCTGTCTCTTTAGGTAGCAGTTTAGGAGACGGAGCCCTCATAGTAGAGGAAAAAAAAGGTCATTATTTCCTTGTACGTATCCAATTTCTTCTTAGATTATGGTATTTCTAACACCTGGAAGCTTAGACAACCTCAAAAAACTACAAAAATCTACAGCTTTACCATTCCTGGTGCCGATCCAAGTGCTGTAATTACCTGTTTTTCACAATCATTTCCCCCTCTCTTGCCTGCGTTTTGCAAAATTGATGAAGTTACCAATTAATTTATAGAAAATCAATGTTTCTGCATTAGTTATTCATTTGGTTTTCCTTCTTTTACTCCCTGTGTTTATAAAAATGCTTTATTGTCATAGAGTTGATTTTATTCACGTATGCAGTCTAGAAGTAGTACCTCGCCTATTCATGATGCATTCTGACTTTTAAATAGTTTCAAACTTGATTCTGTGGCCAAAAAGTTACACGTTACTTCCTGGTAGTCCTGCTTTGATATGTGAGTAGCATGGGGCTTGAGTCTGGAAAAGTAGTTTCCAGAACCATTAATCAAGCAAGAAAAAATACCCCCAAAAATTGTGTATTTCCAATATTGAAAAGTGTATTTATATCCTGTCCATCTTAGGTCTTTGACTATGATTTTGGACTTCAGGATGACTTTATTGGTTCGGCATTCTTGGATATCACTTCATTGGAATTAAACAGGTATGGCCCATACAAGCCTGCGAAGTAAGTATTTTAGATAATCCGCTAATACCACATTTGTGGAATTGCAAGTAGAACATTATGCTGGAAAATAATTATATAAACCTACACATAAAACTAGCCCAGGAAAACCACATATTTTTAGGGAATTACTGTAATATGAATGTTAATATTATATTAACTGTCATGCACAACATTTTTTCCTGTGTCTACAGAGAGCTTAGTATTATAGCCACTTTAATCTGATAATTTTATGTTATCTTTGCAGCATTAGCACCTACTGTTTATTTTTTCTGGTTTTTGATCTATTGATGATACAGTTCAGATTTAATTATTTCAGTACATGTAAGTTCTTAACACAGTACTTACATATACTGAAATACAGCACATGGAACTGTTGCATTGAGTGTTTATGTATGAGTGTTTTTTAAACTGCAACACTTAAAAGTAGAAATAAGGTAAACTTGTGACACTGACAAGTAGTTTCGTGTAAATACAAAAAACTTTAATTATCATGAGTCAAAATTTTCACTGTCTCAAAGCATGAAATCAGAATAAATGCATGGATTTTTGTCTCCTAGGCAAACAGATGTTACCTTGAGTCTGAAGGATCCTCATTACCCTGACCATGATCTGGGAAGTATCTTGTTATCGGTTCTTTTGGCTCCTAGAGAAGAACAGCGAGAAGTGGTAATTTAAAATATTTTAATATATGTCACCAGTCTTGTGTTTTTTCTCTCTTTGGGTGACTGTGTTCTCTACTACATGTTCTATGGTTGGACTAAACTGCATAGTATGTGATTAATTTGGTATTTTTCCAGTTAAAATAACACTGAACAACATTTCTGGTGTAGTGCAGCTTACCTCATCTGATTTGGAACCTCCCTGAGATAGCACTTAAGGGGTCTGGAAGGAACAGAAATGTTCGGCAGTTTTAGATAAAGTCGGTTGCTGCTGATTAACATGGAAGAATATCAGTAAACTACATGTGAATAATTTTGGACCTAGTGCTACCATATCTGGATAAGAACGTTTGAATCCTATTCCACTCTGAAAATAAAGAAACTTGAAGAAAGCTAGTATTTCTGCGTTTGGCAGTTAATGAAGTATTATTTGACATTTTTCAATTTTGTGACTAGATTTGAATTAAAAAAATATGTGGTTTTCTAGATTTATTGTAATTCCTTCATCACGCTTACTTTTCTGAGCTGCTTAGTTCTAAGTGAAAATAGCTTCCAGTTCTGTAGAACCTGTAAGTTGTGACAAATTCTGTCCCTGGTTGGATGTCCTTTACTAGTTTTTTTCTCAGTTGACTTTTGACTTGAGCAGTATTAGTGCACTTGTGGCAGGACTACAAGAGAAGACACCTCACTCAGAGATTGTAAAATCAAGTGGATTCCTTTGGGTTCAGCGAGGCCAGGAAACAAGTGTTGATCTGATTAATTTTTCCATGGGTATGGTCAACAATATGGTTTTTGTAAGGCCATGTACATTTCTGTATGCTGCGGTGTGACACATTGTTCCGCAGGAGTACCTGAGGAATATTGGCGGATTACAATATTGTTCTTTTTCCACTTTTCTCTTGGCTACCACAGAATAGCCTAGTAAGTCAGTTACTGGAAATACTCAAGGTAGGTGTTTGGTATGTGGCATGACAGAGATGTAGATTGTTGAAAATAGGCTTCTCATCTGTTCATTTTCTTCATGATGTTGTGTTAGAAATCATCAAAAATAATGCAGTGGTGCAGGAATTTCATTCAAACTGGGTTTTTCTTTCTTTTATCAATACGTTTGTCCAGGATACTCAGATTATTGTCTTGCAAATTTGTACCAGAGAAGTGTTTTATCGCTTAAATTGAAAAATGTATTTTCATGGGTTTTGTGTGTATTTGAGTAAGACCAGCTTTTCTGAGTCAGCTGGTAATAGTCCTCTTTTTCCCCACTGGCTTTGGCATTATCATAAATCGCGCAGAACAGAAATACTATATTTTTACGTGGGAAACCGTTATGCAGACAGCACATTGGTTTCCTTTTTTCCATCATGCAGAAAGGATAGCTGCTGTGCTACTCAGTGTTACCAGCTGATGATACAAAGAGGGCTAGAGAAAATCACAGATGAGAAAGTGAAATTAAGACAGTACGGTGTCACACACGTCCTTCATCTGGGTATTTACTCAGTGAATTCACAACTGAACATCAAAAGCAATGGGAGCACCATCGACTTGCAAATTTTTTCATGCAGTAGCATGAAAATGGCAAATTTTTTCATGTTCAGCTGACTGGTCGCAGTAGGAGGAAGAATTGGGTTTGTGCTGTTATGCATTCCACTATCAGCTTTCTTTTTAGTAAGCTAATCCTTTTAGTTTAGCTCACATGACCAGTTTTTCTACCCATTCAGATTGTTATCTGGGACTTCGTTCTGCAAAATGCCTAGGATTCAGATTAGGATTCTAATTCCCAATCTGCAGCTTCCTATTTATTGTTAGAAACCAGTCTTCCCAAGATATGATTCTCAGAGTTCTGACAAAGTTGTAGTAAAACCAGAGAATTTGTGTCACAATGCAGGGAAGATGACCTACAAAATTAACATTGAATTGCTGTATGTGGATATGCTAGGAATTTAATGATTCAATTATCTTTTAATCAGCTGCCACATGTAATTATTTATTTAGTTACTAGGTTTTATTTACTCTCAGTAGAGTAGATATATTACAAAATGTATCACTCCAGTTAAACTGTCATCCTTGGTTATTTTTAAAAGGTCTTGTTACAAGGAGGATAATTCTTATTGAATTTAGTATGGTTAAAATAAATAATTTTTAAAACGTTATGTTAGAGGATTGAGGTTCTGGAAGTATAAAGTAAAAATTAAAGCCACTCCTACATTCCCAATATGTGTGCCATGCTATTTGAATGCTTCTCTTCTACTCAGTTAGTTCTGTATAGGTAATAAATTAGACAGTATAGTTGAAATATGTAGAAAAAAAACCCTGTGAACACCTTTAAATATGCTTTAATGACCACTGCACAGGAGACACAGAAATGCATTTTTTTCCCCTGAATATCTGCAAATTTATTTAAATCTTGTTTGTCTGATATCCCAGTATAGCCTACCTCTAAAAACCTCATTTCCGTCTGTATAAGTTTTAATTTGTTCGGGTGATAACTCTAAATTGGTTGCACATGTAGATGGTGTAAAAAATCTTCAAGGTAAAGAATTCATAAATTAACCACTAGTACTTAAATTTCAGTTACTTTAAGCCCATATGTCTAAAATGAAAACGTTTGTTAAGACCATTGAGGAAGTAAAAAAAAAGGAATAGCTTCAGCAGAAGAAGTATTATCTTTACCACGGTGCCCCAGAAGCATCTTGGTGCCTGACCCTGTGTTTTGGCAGCTCTGTAGCCCTAATCCACACCCAGCCCCACTGGACAAGATTTGCTGCTTTTTGTGTGTCGTTCAGTCGCTTCTCGATGCAGATTAGACTTTCCAGGGAGATCCTTTCACAGCCTGGACTGGAGCAGCTGGGAGCGTTTTGGAGGCTGAGGGCTGATGTCTGGATAAAGCCTTTTGGCGATGCGTTTGTGTGGCTGGGGGACAGTATTTTATTGGCGTATAAAAGTAACGTTGACAGCAAGATGCGTCTTGTCACACTGCATAAGAAATATTGACGCTGCCAGAGGGTGAGATGCTCCAATTGGAAGTTTGAAGCTAAACGGTGCAAAACTGGGGGCCTCATTCTGCGTTGCCACCCATCTGCAGGAGAGATATTATTACAAATAATGTAAAAAATAAGCAAGCAGAAGAATAGTTTATTTTGATTTGGTTGGAACTGTCTTTTGAGATGTGCAGAGATGACAGACTTGGTGTGCACAGGAGCGTTCTCCTCCTTAGCTTTCTGAAAGGAATTCTGATGAAATGAGGATTGTTCGTTTGATCAAAACTGCTGAATGAATCTGACAAGTGCAAAAATAAGAATGTGTGTAGTATTCGTGAATAGTGTGATCTGTTTCCAGCCTAACGCAATTAAGTTTCAGTAGCACTAGTTCCAATAATTTGTTTGCATTGCCACTGTGCTGTTAACAATACTTGTCCTTCACATTAATGCAGCACTGTTAATTATTTTACTTTGAGAGGACGGACAGCATAGATAACTAGTGTAAACTAAGATGATGTGAAATAAATTAGTATGGGAAAAGTACGTCTATCCAAAAATTTAAAATTATTTTCAACTCTCCTTTTAAGAAGTTACATGCTGATGATGTGCTTTCTGTCTTTTCCATTAATTTCTCCTTTTGATGAACTCAGAACTAGCGATGGCTTGAATTTTTTTTCATAGACCTGCTACAGTGAAGCTTGTTTTGTTTCTTTAATCCTGACACAACTCTACAAGTGGTTCCCTTTGGATCCGTGCTGTGCTGCGCATGCCCGTGTGCCGCTTGCATGACAATTAAAAATGTGCACGTGGTGCCTGCAGACCCTCCTTGCTCAGTGATATCCTCATGGGGTTCCTCACAGCTGCATGTCTCCCGTGTCTCCTCTCCATCAGTTGCTTCCAACATTGGTCTTGGAGGCAGCTCATGGCTACAGGGAGTGAAAAAATTGGTAGCTTGTTGAGAAATGTTGCCTTGGGGCCAGCAGATACTGGAAACCACACCACGGCATGGAGTGGTGTAGAAAATGGGAGAAAAAAAAGAAATGTGTGAGTGCTACTTGGACATTTTATTTAATGAGAATAAAATTCACAGCGTTGTTTTTACTTCAAACAGTTTAACCCAAATGATGTTTTGGGGTTTTGTTGTATGAAAATATTAAAAATATTAATATGCTGTCAATTTGCTTGCAATTCTAAATCTTACAATGCAACGAAGTTGTGCTTTTGGTTTTTTATTTGCCAGAGGGATAATAACATCATAGAAAAAAGAATGACGGACATGGACTCAGGGCATGGAATATTTTCACATTAAAAAGTTCCATGTAGATTATGCTATATATTTGTTTTACTGGCTTCTAGGGATGGTTAACAAGGGCTTCAGCTTGCCCTGCTGCGCCTGGTGGTGATGGTGACACACTCAACACGCATGCCTGAGGTTGTTTTTCTTCTCCCCCAAAAAAGTGTGTCTATCTGAAGAATTTGTGGATATTTCTGAAATGCAGAACCCACAAGGAAAATGTTTGCATTTCAAAATCTATTTCCATTGCCTGAAGAAGAAGGTGGCTTTGCAGTACTTTAAAAAACCCCCACAAATTATGTTAATTTTTCGTTACAAAGTTTCAACAGAAATTAATGGCCTTTGATTTATGCTTGTTCAGTGCCAGCAACAGGCTGCTAAATGTTATTAAACTGTATAAATTAATTTATCTGTGTTTCCACAAAACTGCTTTCAGCACCAGTTGTGTTCACAGATAAAATGTCCACATCTCTCTTGACCAATATGTCTCTTTTACTGAATGATTGAGAACCTTTGTGGCCAAGGTTTTACACGTTACTTCGGTAATGGTACAGGGCTGCTGCATAGTGGGTTTTTTTTTAAGAGTCAAAGTATGAAATTATTGCTGTTTCATGTGCTTAACTATCAAACCAAAGCAATATTTTTACTTTTGTGAAACTCGTTAGCAGTGGTAACCTTAGAAGTTTTACAGTAGATGTGTGTTGTCTGAGGAGCCTGACGGAGGATTCCTCTTACATGGCTACACCTGTGAGCAAAACAGTAGTGTTCTGAAAAAATAGCTTACATGAGTGTTAAAAAAAAATCATTATTCAAGTATCACTCAAAATTGAAGTCAACGTTGGTAATGGCACATTCACTTTTCTTCATTTGATTTTCTGCTTTTCTCTCCTTGTTTCTCTATTTCTCTCTGTCTCCCCTTTTTCCTTTTTCCTTTTTGCCTTTGCCTTTTCCTTTTTTCATTTTCCTTTTTCCCTTTATTTTTCCTTTGTCCTTTCCTTTCTCCTTTCTCCTTTCCCCTTTCCCCTTTCTCCTTTCTCCGTTCTTTCTTTCTTGTTTCTCGTTTCCTGTTTCTCATTTTTCCATTCTCCTTTTTCCTTTTTTCTTCCTTTCTCCTCTTGCCTTTCCCATTTTTTCTTTCTCCTTTCTCCTTTCTCCATTCTCCTTTTTTCCTTTTTCCTTTCTTTCCCTTTCTTTTCCTTCTTTTTTTTTTTCTTCTTTTCTTATTTTTCTTTCTTTAAAACAATTGCACGCAATGCTTTGTCTCTGGAAAGGAGATACTCACAGCACCAGAGCAGCGTCGTGGGTGCGCTTGGTGCTGCCCATTGTCTGGATTTATTTCAGCCTCGTGTAGTTGTCGCTGGAGTGTACGTGTTGCTGCTTCAGCTGCACTGGTGGTTAAATGTGGATTGTCCCTTTGGAGACAGCTGGCCTCCCTTTCTGTATTGCAGAGAAAAGGTAATTAAAATGCTCTATTTTATTTTCAGACAATGCTAATGAGGAAGAGTTGGAAAAGATCAAGTAAGGTAACTTTTAGCATGTGGTCTTCTGGCTTTTTTTTTTTTTCCTCTTTTTTTTTAGAAGAATTATAATGTTTTACCACCAAACATGCCATCTAAAACTCGGAACTTGTGGCACAGTATTTAATCTCCTGAAATTTTCTTTTTTAATGACATTGTTTTGTGTTTCATTCAAACCAAAATCATGAAACATTTGAGCTTTTAATGTGATCATTACGCATCTCAACTTTGTTGCAACATTTTAGCCTGTCTTGAAGCCATCTAGTAACTTCATATCAGTGGCAAACATGTCCTGATTCTTTTTCTAAAACTTTTCATTTCTTGTGTATAAACAATTTGCTTAAAGTGTACTTGTTAGTGTTCACAGAATATTCCTCCCAAGTGGGAGCTTTCATTTTCCTGTTACTTACTCCTCTTATTGATTAGAGTTTTTTTGTGTGTGGAAGTTTTCACAGGGATGCTTTTCAAAGGCAAATTTGAGAGATGATGGTTATGTCCAGCGCTTAAGGAATCACTCTTTATACGTCTCTTCAGGTGCCTTTTGCAGAAAAATTCAGTATCTAGCTGTCATCCTCTTAAGAGCCACTTGAGTGATAAAAAATGAGCAGCGTGTGCTCTTTTGCACTAGGGAAAGGCTGGGAGTTTAACTGCAGTGGAACACAACCTGGTTTTACCTTTCTGCCTCTATGTGTCTCCAAAAAAATGAAGAAAAATGTTTGTAGTTTCTCAGTAGTTTTCTGGCCACTTTTACCTAATACTGGCATGCTGCTTTCAAGTTTTAAACCTTCTTATTATTTGCATGATCAAAACGAGAATCAGACTTTCTCAAAGTCTTGAGCTGGTGTGATAGATCTGGTTTTTTAATTCTTTTTTATTATTATTATTATTGTGTAAAGTGTTAAAAAAAGAAAAAATGCAATAGCTGTGTGGGGTAACTTTTCTGTGAAGTGATTTACTCTTCTAGCATACTGAGGCACAAATTTAAATAGGTTATTAATAAACAGTGTTGTAGATAGTACTGACTGACAAATATTTGCACAGTATTTTTAAGCTTTGTGGTACAAAAAAAAGAGCAGGATTCATAATTCTTGGATTAAGAACAGGGTTTTCACACAGTCTGCTTCTGTGATGCAGAGCAGTACCCAATCTCAGTTTCAAAAAAAATGTTCAAACTCCTGAAGCGTTAGTGGATCGTGAAAGTGAGGCATCAACTCCTGATGCACTCGATCTCCCATACTTTGAATTTCAAACTGGCTTCAATAATCCTGAATGAATGCCACAACACGATAGTTGGGAATTCTTCAGTGCCTTTCAAGTGTATTATTTATGTGGCTGCCTTTTTTACACTGATTTGATAACATTTCATTGAGGTGTTGCCATTTTTTGCAAAGGGGCATATAAAAAGATTTGGGAGATAGCAAATGTTTGGATTTAAATACTGCATTTTTATACATTTATCTCAGGTGAAGAAATAATTTTACCTAGAGATGTAATGCAGGTACAAAATCTTAAATGCACAGTTGTGTGTGTGATTTATTTACAGAAGTACCTCAGTTAAACTACAGAAGCTAATTTGCCTTGTGGGGCTATTGCAGAGTTGCCTGCTGTCAGTAAAACAAATCAAAAAATCTTTTACTTTATAAATAATTCCTTCAAAAATTAATTCCTGTTGTCTGGAGTGCAGGATGATCAATAGTAAATAAGACATCATTTGCAGATTTTTTAAAAAAGTCTAGAAATAGGTATTTAATGCTCTTAGATAACAGAGAAAGCGTCCTATTTGAGATCCTTTTTCTTCAGGGAGTATTTGTCTTATGCTCTTGAGAGCTGAGAGAAAAAACAGAATATTAAAGTTTTTTAGAGATGCTATTATAAAATTTCCTAAATGTACTTTTTTTAGCTCTCTAGAGCCTTTACAACAGCACTTCTATTAAATGAATTTGATTTTGCAGATTATGACGGTATATTTTACTTTTCAGTGAGTGTACTTGAAGCTTACCGCTTCTTTAGCATACGTAGTTAGGTAACTTCTCTGTTCTTCTGACGGTATTCATGTACTTCTAAACAACTACTTCGGTGAAATTCTGAGTCTGTACTTCTTACGCTTCTACTGCTCTGCTCCCTCAAGGGGCAAAAATGCAACCGCTTTTGCTGTTGTTGTTAGGTTATTTTCTGCTGTTGCTGTTGGTTTATATCACATGTACTCTTCATCAAAATTCATGGATGCTAGATGACTCCCTGTGCTGTCTAGGTCAGAGGGAGTACTCATTGTCCAGCGAATCTTACGAAAATTAAATTCAGACAATTCTGAATTCAGAGCATTTAGGTTCTTGCTCTGCGAAAAACAAACTTTCTGTTGTCTGCAACAGGAGAATCCTGGTGGGTTATTAAAAACAAAAATCCAAACAAAATGCAGAAAGCTACCAAAGCTGTCTATTTTAAGACAACACAAATTCTACTGGGTAATGATAGTTTGCGTCTGGTTTCGACTTGATTTTTTTTCTACTACCTCCACCACAAGCTCGGTGTTGCATTAAAGCACAGGCATGTTGAGGTTAGTGAGCAACCACCTGGATCATAAAAAAGTGCATGAAACACCGAGAAACCCACCTCAAGGTGCATTTCCCTTGCTGAAGGTGCACACTTTTCCTGATGGCTCTCCTCCTCTGGGTTTAGGGAAATCAACTTTCTTGTTTCTCCCTTGCTTTCTCAAAGGTCTGGATGCCATACCTGATTTGGTAAAACCGTGGTCATATTGGTATAGAAGGAGTACAGATAAGCCCAAGGTTTTAAGAGAGGTAAATAAATGCTAATAGTCAACATTGCCCCTGACAGTGAGGTGAATATTGCTGATTTTTGAAGTGATTTTCGTCACAGAATCCTTGAGGTGCAAGCTGTCTGTGCGATGAGAAATAAAAAGATGCTGTTTCCAGACAAAAATTGCAAAAATTTGTTTTCTCCCATTTCCTCTGGTTATGAAAACAAGAAAAAAGTCAGCTGTGACTTCTTCTTTAGTAATTCTCAGCATCGCAGATGCTTAATCAATAGCTAGGGAAAG